TTAACAACAATAACAACAAAAGACCTGAGGGAAACCAAGAGTTGGTCCCTTAACCAACTGAGCCACCAGGCCCCCACAATAGTACATTTTATATTGAGTTATGTTGGTTTTACTTATATAAACATGTATATTCATATACACATGTACATATTCATTTAAGTGATACTGTAACATCACATAATTGAAAATTCTTTGAGAATATATATTTTTTAAGTTTTTATTTTAATCACTTGGGAGTGCTTAACACAAGTGCACTCCTTAATCCCCATCACCTATTTCACCCATCACCTGCTGTCTGGTAACCTTCAGTTTGTTCTCTATAGTTAATAGTCTGTTTCTTCCCATCCACCTGCTGTCTGGTAACCTTCAGTTTGTTCTCTATAGTTAATAGTCTGTTTCTTGGTTTGTCTTTGTTTTTCCCCTTTGCTCCTGGTTTTGTTTCTTAAATTCCACACATGAACGAAACCGTGTGATATTTGTCTTTCTCTGACTGACTTCACTTAGCATTGTACTCTGTAGCTCTATCCATGTCCTTGCAAATGGCAATGTCTCATTCTTTTTGTGACTGAATAATATTTCATTGTATATATATACATACATCTTTATCCATTCACAGTCAGTGGACACTTGGGTTGCTTTCATATCTTGGCTATTGTAAATAATGATTCTATAAATATAGAGCTGCATGTATCCCTTTGAATTAGTGTTTTTGTACTCTTTGGGTAAATATCTAGTAGTGTGATTCTAAGATTATAGGGTAGTTCTATTTTTGATTTTTTGATGAACCTCCATGCTTTTTGCCACAGTGGATGCACCAATGTGCATTCCCACCAATAATGCACGAGGGTTCCTTTTTCTCCACATCCTCACCAACACCTCTTGTTTCTTGTGTTGTTGATTTTAGCCGTTCTGTCAGTTGTGAGGTGTTCTCTCACTGTAGTTTTGATTTTCATTTCCCTCATGATCAGTAGTGTAGAACATCCTTTCTTGTGTCTGTTGACCATCTCTGTTTGTTTGTTTGTTTGTTTTAAGATTTTATTTATTCATGAGAGACACACAGAGAGATAAAGGCAGAGACACAGGCAGAGGGAGAAGCAGGCTCCATGCAGGGAGCCTGACGTGGGACTCGATCCTGGGTCTCCAGGATCAGGCCCTGGGCTGAAGGCGGCGCTAAACTGCTGAGCCACCAGGGCTGCCTCATCTCTGTTTCTTTGGAGAAATGTTTGTCCATGTCTTCTGCCCACTTTTTTTTTTTTTTATCAGATTATTTGTTTTTAGAGTGTTGAGTTTTTTAAGTTCTTTATATATTTTGGATACCAACACTTTATAGGATATGTTATTTGCAAATACCTTCTCCCATTTCAAAGGCTGCCTTTGGTTTTGTTGATTGTTTCCTTCACTGTGCAGAACCTTTTTATTTTGATGTAATCCCAGTAGTTATTTTTGCTTTCATTTTCCTTGCCCCAGGGTGTCTATCTAGAAAAAAGTTGCTATGGCCATTGTTCAAGAAATTACTACCTGTGTTCCTTTCTATGATTTTTATGGTTTCAGGTCTCACATTCAGGTCTCTAATCCATTTTGAACGTATTTTGTGTATGGTGCAAGAAAGCGGTCCAGTTTCATCCTTTTGCATGTTGTCCAGTTTTCCCAATACTGTTTGTTGAAGAGACTTTTTCCCCATTGGATATTCTTTCCTGCTTTATCAAAGATTAATTTACCATTTATTTTATTTTATTTTTTAAGATTTTATTTATGAGAGACACAGAGAGAGAGAGGCAGAGACATAGGCAGAGAGAGAAGCAGGCTCCATGCAGGGAGCCCAATGTGGGACCCGATCCCGGGACTCCAGGATCACACCCTGGGTGGAAGAAGGCAGGCATTCAACCATTGAACCACCCAGGCATCCCTACATCCCTCCCCACTGACCACAGAGCCTGCCATGGAGTTTGATCCCAGGACCTTAGGATCATGACCTGAGCTCAGGTGCTTAACTGACTGAGCTAAAGGCTCAGGTGCTTAACCGATTTAGCCATCCAGGCATCCTATCCAGCTTTGGTTTTCTTTATCGAGATTTCATTTCTTTGGCTAAAAAAAAAAAAGATTTATTTGGCTATTCAGCATTTTATGTGGTTCCTTACAAATTTAGGATTATTTGTTCTAGTGCTGTGAAAAGCACTGTTGGTATCTTGATAGGGATTGCATACTTCGGGTAGTGTAGACACTTTAATATTATTTGTTCTTCCAGTCCATGAGCAAAGAATTTCTTTCCACTTCTTTTCTTGTTTTCAGTTTTGTTCACCAGTCTTTTGTAGTTTTCAGAGTATAGCTCTTTTTCCTCTTTGGTTAAGTTTATTCTTAGGTATCTTACTATTTTTGGTGCAATTGTAAATGATATTGTTTTCTTATTTCTCATCTGCTTCATTATTGGTGTGTAGAAATGCAACAGGTTTCTGTAGGTTTATTTTGTATCCTGACATTTTACTGAATTCATTTATCAGTTCTAGCAGTTTTTTTGGTGAAGTGTTTTGGGTTTTCCATATATTGTATCCAGTCATCTGCAAGTACTGAAAGTTGTACTTCTTCCTCACCGATTTGGATGCCTTATATTTCTTTCTTCTTCTTCTGTGATTGCTGTGGCTAGGACTTCAATTATTGTGTTGAATAAAAGTGGTGAGAGTAGACATCCTTGTCTTACTCCTGACTTTAGTAGAAAGGTCTCAGTTTTTCCTCATAGAGAATGATGTTAGCTGTGGGTTTTTTACATGTGGCCTTTGTTATGTTGAGGTATGTTCTCTCTAACACTACTTTGTTGAGGGTTTTGTTGTTGTTGAGGGTTTTTATCATGAATGGGTGTTGTACTTGTTAAGTGCTTTTTCTGTGTCTATTTTCATGGTCATATGGTTCTTATCTTTTCTCTTAATGATGTGGTGTATCAGGTATCATTTGCAAATATTTAACCACGCTTGCAACCCAGGAATAAATCCCCCTTCACCGTGCTGAATTATTTTTTTTTAATGTATTGTTGGATTTGGTTTGATAGTATTTTATTGATGATTTTTGCATCTCTGTTCATCAGGGATATTGGTCCGTAGTTCCCTTTCTTTGTGGTGTCTTTATCTGGTTTTGGCATCAGTAATGCTGGCCTCATGGAATGAATTTGGAGGTTTTCCTTCCTCTTCCGTCGTTTTTTTGAAATAGTTTGAGAGGGCAGCCCCGGCGCACTAGTGATTTAGTGCTGCCTTCAGGGGTGTGATCCTGGAGACTCGGGATCGAGTCCCACGTCAGGCTCCCTGCATGGAGCCTGCTTCTCCCTCTGCCTGTGTCTCTGCCTCTCTCTCTCTCTGTGCCTGTCATGAATAAATAAATAAATCTTAAAAAAAAAAATGAGCTGAGTGAAGTAAGTCAATTGGAGAAGGACAAACAGTGTATGTTCTCATTCATTTGGGGAATATAAATAATAGTGAAAGGGAATATAAGGGAAGGGAGAAGAATTGTGTGGGAAATATCAGAAAGGGAGACAGAACATAGAGACTCCTAACTCTGGGAAATGAACTAGGGGTGGTGGAAGGGGAGGAGGGCGGGGGGTGGGGGTGAGTGGGTGGCCGGCACTGAGGGGGACACTTGACGGGATGAGCACTGGGTGTTATTCTGTATGTTGGTAAATTGAACACCAATAAAAAATTAATTTATTAAAAAAAAGAAATAGTTTGAGAAGAATAGCTCTTAAGTCTTACTTAAATATTTGGTAGAATTTGCCTGTGAAGCCATCTTGTCCTGGACTTTTGTTTGTTAGATGTTTTTTGTTTATTGATTCAATTGTATTGCTGGTAATTGGTCGTTCAAATTTTCTTCCTGCATCAGTTTTGGTAGATTATGTGTTTCTAGGAATTTATCTCTTTCTTCTAGGATGTTCAGTTTGTTGTCATATATCTTTTTTCATAATATTCTCTTGAATTTCTGTGATGTTGGTTGATAGTTCTCTCTTATTTGTGTTTTTATTTATTTGGGTGCTTTCTCTTTTTTTCTTGGTAAATCTGGGATAAAGGTTTATCATTTCAAAGAACCAGTTTCTGGTTTCATTGATCTATTCTGTTTTTTAGTTTCTATACCATTTATTTCTGCTCTGATCTTTATTATTTCCTTCCATCTCCTGGTTTTAGGTTTTGTTTATTGTTCTTTTTCTAGCTCCTTTAGGTGTAAAGTTATGTTATTTGAGATTTTTCTTGCTTCTTGATGTAGGCCTGTATTGATATAAACTTCTCTCTTAGAACCACTTTTGCTACATCCCAAAGGTTTTGAATCATTGTATTTTCATTTTCATTTGCTCCTATGTATTTTTTTAAATTTCTTTTATTTCCTGGTTGACCCATTCATAGTTAGTAGCATGTTATTTAGCCTTTATGTGTTTGTGGTCTTTCCATATTTTTGCTTATGGTTGACTTCTAGTTTTATGGTGTCAGAAAAAATGTATGGTATAATTTCATTCAATCTTTTATTTTAAAAATTTAGGGAGAGAAAGAGAGTGCAAGCAGGGGCAGGGGCAGAGAGAGAGAGGGAGAGAAAATCCCAAGCAGACTCTCCACTGAGTGTGGAGCCCACCTCGGGCTTGAATCCACAACCCACGAGATCATGACCTGAGCCAAAACCAAGAATCGAACACTCAACCGACTGAGCCAGTCAGGCACCTCCAGCTTCATTCACTCTTTTGGATTTTGTTGAGCTTTGTTTTTTGGCCTAGTATGTGATTTGTTCTGGAGAACTGTCCATGTGCCTTTGAAAAAAATTTTTGTTTTGTATTTTTTGCCTTTTTATTACTTGTTTTTTAGTTGTTCCTGAAGATTTTCTCTGATTCTTTCTTGTCTTTCACTCTTTCATGCTTTGCTGGTTTTATTTAGAGATATATTTGGATTTCTTTTTCTTTGCATGTCTATTAGTGGTTTTTTTTTTTTTAATTTTATTTTTTTTTTCATTTATTTATGATAGCTACAGAGAGAGAGAGAGGCAGAGACACAGGCAGAGGGAGAAGCAGGCTCCATGCACCCGGGAGCCCGACGTGGGATTCGATCCCGGGTCTCCAGGATCGCGCCCTGGGCCAAAGGCAGGTGCCAAACCGCTGCGCCACCCAGGGATCCCCAGTGGTTTTTTTTTATTTGTGGTTTCCATTAGGTATGTATAACTTCTACATGTAGCAGTCTGTATTAAGTTGATGGCCATTTAAGTTTGAACCCATTTTTACTTGTCCCATTCCCACATTTTAGTTATATGGTGTAATATTTTACATCTTTTTTGAGGGGGTGAAATTCTTGACTGATTTTTACAGAAATATTTTTACTGCCTTTATGTTTCCTACCTTCACATTGTCATTTTTAGCTTTTCCTTTCCACTCTGATAGTCCCCTTTATTATTTTCTTGCAGAGTTTACTTAGTGGTCATGAGTTCTTTTAGTTTTTGTGTGGGAAACTCTTGATCTCTTCTTCTATTCTGAATGATAACCTTGCTGTATATAGTATTCTTGGCTGCAGATTGTTCCCATTCAGCACTTTGAATATGTCATGCCACTCCTTTCTGGCTTGGATAGTTTCTGCTGAAAAATCTACTGATACCTTGTGGGGTTTCCTTTGTATGCAGCTATCTTCTGTCTGCTTTTAATATTTTTTCTCTGTCACTATATTTTTCCAGTATGATTACACTATGTCTTGGTATGGATCTGCTTTTGTTGACTTTGTTGGGGGTTCTCTGTGCCTCCTAGGTCTAGATACCTGTTTCTTTCCCCCGATTAGGGAAGTTTTTAGATATTGTTTCTTCACATAAATTCTCTCCTCCTTTTTCTCTTCTTCTTCTGAGATTCCTATAATACAAGTGTTATTGATAGAGTCACTGTGTTCTCTAAGTCTGTTCTTCGTTTGCGTAATGCTTTTTTCACTCTTTTGTTCAGCATTACTTTTCATTACTGTTTTCTAGGTCATTTATTTGTTTCTCTTCTTTTTCTTCTTCTTCTTCTCTTATTTTTTTTTTTTGTTTCTCTGATTCTTATACATACCCTGTTGTTCATTTCATCAAACGTGTGTCTTATTTTGTTTATTTAGCCCTTTATTTCTGCTATGTTATTTCTTATCCCTGGGTTAATTGTTTCACTGATGTCTTCCACTCTTTTGTCAAGACCAGTGAGTATCTTTATAATCATTGCTTTAAACTTTCTTTTTTTTTTTAATTTTATAAATTAATTTTATTGGTGTTCAATTTACCAACATACAGAATAACACCCAGTGCTCATCCCGTCAAGTGTACCCCTCAGTGCCCGTCACCCATTCACCCCCACCCCCCGCCCTCCTCCCCCTCCACCACCCCTAGTTCATTTCCCAGAGTTAGAAGTCTTTATGTTCTGTCTCCCTTTCTGATATTTCTCACACATTTCTTCTCCCTTCCCTTATATTCCCTTTCACTATTATTCATATTCCCCAAATGAATGAGAACATACACTGTTTGTCCTTCTCCAGTTACTGTGGCCAAGTTCAAAAAGGGTGTTGCCTGAGTTCTCCTCTGGGATTTTGATGGAATCTTGTCTCACATTTAGATCTTTCATCTATTTTGAGTTTATCTTTGTGTATGGTGCAAGAGAGTGGTCCAGTTTCATTCTTCTGCATGTGGATGTCCAATTTTCCCAGCACCATTTATTGAAGAGAGTGTCTTTCTTCCAGTGGATCGTCTTTCCTCCTTTATCGTATATTAGTTGACCATAAAGTTCAGGGTCCACTTCTGGGTTCTCTGTTCTGTTCCATTGATCTATATGTCTGTTTTTGTGCCAGTACCACACTGTCTTGATGAACACAGCTTTGTAGTACAACCTGAAATATGGCATTGTGATGCGCCCAGATATGGTTTTCTTTTTTAAAATTCCCCTGGCTGTTTGGGTTTTTTTCTGATTCCACACAAATCTTAAAATAATTTGTTCTAAGTCTCTGAAGAAAGTCCGTGGTATTTTGATAGGGATTACATTATACGTGTAAATTGCCCTGGGTAACATTGACATTTTCACAATATTAATTCTGCCAATCCATGAGCATGGAATATTTTTCCATCTCTTTGTGTCTTCCTCAATTTCTTTCAGAAGTGTTCTATAGTTTTTAGGGTATATTTTGAGAACCATTTGAATGGTAAATGGTTCTCCAACCTTTTATTTTCAGGTTGTAGGTGTCCTTCTGTCTAAAATGAGTCTCTTGTAGACAGCAAATAGATGGGTCCTGCTTTTTTATCCAGTCTGAAACCCTGTGCCTTTTGATAGGGTCATTAAGCCCATTCATGTTCAGAGTTACTATTGACAGATATGAGTTTAGTGTCCTCATGATATCTATTTAGTCCTTGTTTTTGTGGATTGTTCCACTGAACTTCTTCTTAAAGGGGAATTTTAAGAGTCCCCCTTAAAATTTCTTGCAGAGCTGGTTTGGAGGTCACATATTCTTTCAGTTCCTGCCTGTCTTGGAAGCTCTTTATCTCTCCTTCCATTTTGAATGAGAGCCTTGCTGGATAAAGTATTCTTGGTTGCATGTTCTTCTCATTTAGGACCCTGAATATATCCTGCCAGCCCTTTCTGGCCTGCCAGGTCTCTGTGGAGAGGTCTGCTGCCACCCTAATGTTCCTCCCCATGAAAGTCAGGGACTTCTTGTCTCTTGCTGCTTTAAGGATCTTCTCTTTATCTTTGGAATTTGCAAGCTTCACTATTAAATGTCGAGGTGTTGAACGGTTTTTATTGATTTTAGGGGGGGATCTCTCTATTTCCTGGATCTGAATGCCTGTTTCCCTTCCCAGATTGGGAAAGTTTTCAGCTAGGATTTGTTCAAATACATATTCTGGCCCTCTGGCCCTTTCGGCGCCCTCGGGAACCCCAATTAAGCGTAGGTTTTTCTTCCTTAGGTTGTCATTTATTTCCCTTAATCTGTCTTCATGGTCCCTTAATTGTTTGTCTCTTTTTTCCTCAGTTTCCCTCTTTGCCATTAACTTGTCTTCTATGTCACTCACTCGTTCTTCCACCTCGTTAACCCTCGTCGTTAGGACTTCTAGTTTGGATTGCATCTCATTCAATTGATTTTTAATTTCTGCCTGATTGGATCTAAATTCTGCAGTCATGAAGTCTCGTGAGTCCTTAATGCTTTTTTCTAGAGCCACCAGTAGCTGTAGAATAGTGCTTCTGAATTGGCTTTCTGACATTGAAGTGTAATCCAGATTTTGTAACTCTGTGGGAGAGAGGGCTGTTTCTGATTCTTTCTTTTGAGGTGAGGTTTTCCTTCTAGTCATTTTGCTCAGTGCAGAGTGGCCAAAAACAAGTTGTATTGGAACACGGGGGAGTATCACTGGTCCGTCCAGCTGGTCTTCTGGGGGAGGGGCCTGCTGTGCTGATTTTCAGGTGTTAGCACTTGGGGGAGCTGCTCTGCCCCTGCCTGCTGCCGGGCTCAGCGGGGGTTGTTTACCCCGTGGGGCCCCAGGAGGAACAGCCGCAGTTGCTATGGCAACTCTGGAAGCCTGGATTCAGCCTCCGCAGGAACTACGGGGCTCGGGGCTCTCGGTTCTCCGTCCGCAGGGCCTGGAGGCTCCGGGGCGGGGCCGCTGATCTGCTCAGCTCGGGGCAGGAGCGTCCTTGCTGTCCTGGGCCCTCCCGGCCTCTGCCTGTCCCGGGGGGAGGCCGGATCCTGGGCTGTGTCCCGGCGCCCTGTGCTCCGGGGCCTGCGCTGGTGGATTCGCGCTCCCGCCCCGCAGCCCCCTCCGCGGATCCGCCGCCCGAGCCCCTCCGAGCTGCTCCTCCGGGTCCCGCCGTGCGCGCTGCAGCCCTTAGGGAGCTCGGCGCACTCTCCCGGGGCGCAGGTGTCTGTTAGTGTCCCAGGGAGCCCGAGGGCATCCCCGCCCTCCTGGGTCCTGCTCCAACTCCCTGCAAGCCCCTTTCCGCCCGCCCGGGAAGGTTGGTGCAGCTCCTGCTCCTCCGGGACGGGGACGGGGCTCTCCTGTCCTGGGGACACTCGCCCCGGCCTCAGCCCGGCTCCTCGCGGGCCCCTCCCCCTCGGAGGCCTTTTGTGTCTTTATTTCTTTTTCCCCGTCTTCCTACCTTGATAGAAGCGCGAACTCTTCTCACTATAGCATTCCAGCTGGTCTCTCTTTACATCTCAGGCCGAATTCGTAGGTTTTCAGGATGGTTTGAAGGTTATCTAGGTCATTTGGTGGGGACAGGCGATTTGGGGACCCTACTCTTCCGCCATCTTGCCCCTCCTGCTTTAAACTTTCTACCAGAAAAAAAAAATCTAAAAATTCTATCAGGCATGTTACTGATAACTGTTTTGCTTAGATTTCCAGCTGTGGCCTTGTCCTGTTCCATGTCTTTGTCCTATTATTTCATTTGGGACAAACTGCTTTGTCCTTTCATTTTGTCTAGGTCTGTGTACCTGTTTCTCGGTGTTAAGAATGTCAGCTGTGTCTTCTGTTCTTGATTACAATGGCTCTATGAAGAAGAGGTCGTGCAGTGCTCTGCAGTGTAATGTACCCTATTCCCCAGGGCCTGTCACTTCTAGGAGTGTCTCCAGTATGTGCTTTATGCACTCTGCTCTTGTTTGCTGGCTGCTATATCCTTCAGGCCAGTTATCTGCAGAGACTCTCTTTGCCTGTTGTGGGCAGTGTTTGGTCCCTGGCCTGAATGTGGTATGTTTTTTACCAGGTATGCTTTGGTCTCCTTGTGAAATCTGACCTGTCACTACTGCCCCTGGAACCGAGGCCTCACAAAACTGCCAGTCAGGAGACATGGTGTTGACAGAGGTTAGAGACTGTCTTCTGGGGAGGGGGCTCACTGTGCTGAAACAGAGACAAGCTGAATGGACAGGGCCAATCTGAAGTGCTGGGGCTGAATTGTGGCTTTTGGTGTAAGCAATTAGGTAGTGAGTGTGGTCACCAAACTAGTTCCCACAGGTGGCCCAGTGCCTCATGCCGGTCCTGATGCTGAGGGTTAAGGGAGGGAAATAGGTCCTGACAGTTTCTTTGTTCCCAGAGGGGTCTCTCTGTGAATGCAAAGGCTACCTCTCTGTGACACACTTTGAGATGAGTAACTAACCTTCCCACTGTGTGCCCTAGGTGCTCTTCAGATCAAGGCCTCCACGCTGTATGTTTGGAGTCTCTGCCCTGCATTTTCTCCAAGAGCAGCTCCAGTGTCCTCCAAGCTCTGCCAGAGTCAAGCACACTGATCTTTAAAAGCCCTGCTGGTGGTAGGAACTCACAAAATTGGGTCCTTTCACTTTCCATGCCAATTACTATGGGGATTTATTTTCCCCATGTGCTCCTCTGCGTGCTATTCTGTCTCTCATCCTTCTCAGCAACAGCAGTTCCCTCTCCACTGCAGTGGCCAGGATCTGCTTTTCTCCCAAGCCGCATCTCCAGTCTTCTACCTTCTTCAGTGTGGCCTCTTCTTTAGTTGTGGAGGTTGTTCTGCAAATCTTCAGATCGATTTCTGGTGTATTTAGAATGATTTAAGAGTTATCCAGTTGTATTCATGGGACAAAGAGACTCTAGAGTCCTCCCACTTCACCACCATCTTTCTCTCCTTAAGAATATTACAGTATTAGATACTATTGTTTTGTCAGATGTGTGATTGACCCAGTATTCATTCACTCGTTTATTGTAATAAAAATCCTGACTTGGTTTGAAGGAGCACTGTGCATAACTTAAATAAAGAAAAAAGGGAAAAAAGGCTATAGGTTCTAGCTTCCCTTAAAGATATAAACAAAAGTTGTTGGATTTGGCTTCTTAGTTCTTTAAAGGGATGAGGATGGGGGCAGGATAGGCTCAGTGGGCATATATTGTTTTGGCCCTCTTTGCTTGCCTGGAATATGGACATGGTAATATGTGGGGAGCAGCCATTTTATAATGATGTATTTACCAAGAAAGGTAAGATCAGAAAGCTTACAGTATTGTCAACCTGAAAATAAAGAGCCGCAATGAGAGGCAAATGAGTGTTTATTTGGAATTGAAGAATTGCAGTTTGGGGAGCACAGATTCTGGCAGTAACCAGAAAAGTGTCCCACCTGCAAGGTGAAAAGCAGGAGTTTTTATGAGAAAGGATGTGGGGGGCAATTACATGATTTAGATAAAAGACAGGAAAGTTAATTGTTACTAACAGGCTGAACCAATGCGGTTACACAGACTGACCTTTTGGTGTTAATACCTCCTATGCATTAGTTAACTATTCTGTCTTCTGAAAGTCCACAGCCAGCAGTTGTATTGATCAAGATATCCATTGCCCTATTGATTTTATAGATAATTGCTTGCCAAACAGTTTTTGCTTCTGGTCAGACCAGGGGTCTTTTTGCCCAGTTCAAGATTATTAGGTCATTAGCCATTAGTTTTTTGTGTTTTTTTTAATATTTTATTTATTTATTCATGAGAGACAGAGAGAGGCAGAGACACAGGCAGAGGGAGAAGCAGGCTCCATGCAGGGACTTGGATCATGCCCTGGGCCTAAGGCAGGCACTCAACTGCTGAGCCACCCAGGGATCCCTCTAGCCATTGGTTTTAGAAAGGAAAATATTGCTTTTCCTAAAAATGGAGTCTCTCATGTCCAGAAGTTTTGTATGACTACACAATATTTAAAAGACAATAGAGGATTTTAAGTTGTACATATAGGAAAGTTAATTTGATAAAAAATATTTACCTGTAAATGTATGGAACATGTAGTAGCATTTAGTTATCTCCATTGTAATTATGAAGTTTATGAAAGAAGGGGTTTATTGTCTGTTTAGTTAAGTCTTAAGCATTTACCACAATGACTAACACATAGTTGGCACTCAGTAGGTACTTAATAAATGATAGCAGTGATATTACTTTCTGACCACAGAGTAGAAATATGCACTTAGAATGCCTTAGGTTTGTGTTACTCTGTCTAAGCGTACTCTACGTATGTTAACTGTGCCTCTAGAGGAGGGCAGTCATGTGCCAAGGACTATATTAGTCCTGTGTTCTTCAAACTGCGTATGAGTTCTCCAGTATCTGCAGGACTTTTGATGTGGGTGAAAGATATTCACTGTTAATCCTGTTTTCTTCAAGGCTTACTTTATCAAATTTCTGTATCTAATGAATAATACATAAGTAACCATCTTTTCTAGAGCATTTAAAGGATTACTAATTTTGATTAGTTGGACCCCTGGTGGTGGCTCAGTGGTTGAGCATCTGCCTTTGGGTGGGTGGGAGGTGGGGGGGAACGAGTCCTGCATCGTCCTCCCTGCATGGAGCCCGCTTCTCCCTCTGCCTGTCTCTGCCTCTCTCTCTGTGTGTCTCTCATGAATAAATAAATAAAATAAATCTTAAAAAATACATATTAAATACATATTTGTTTTTCTTTTTTTTTCATATTTGTTTTTCATAGCCTTTTCTTGCACTGAGCTCCTAAAACCCTTGGAATTTACTATGTGTAGAGAGCTATCAAGATGTCTTTTGTTATGTTAATGAGATGACTTTGGGAAACCCTGATGTAACCAAAGTGTAGGCTGGTTATTAGTGGCCCCAACCTGGTGACTAGAGGGTTGGAACTTTCAATCCCCCTCCAACTTTTGGAGATGATAAAATGTCTAGAGGTTGAATCATTTGCCAGTGGCCAATGGTTTAATCAATCGTGACTATTGTTGAATTTTAAAAGTTACACTGAGTAAATTTTAAAGATTCAATTAGCTTTATAAAATGATTCATGAATGTGGCAGCATTGCGTTGTTGCTGAGCCCTGAAATTGGATTTGTTTGCCCCATGCTTAGTAAGCCCATCTCTGAGTCATCAGGTTTGAAGCAGAGAAAGATTTATTAAAGGACAACCCAATGAGAAGGCAGACATAGGTCCCAAATCTACCTTGCCTTGTTGATCCTAGGGACAGTTTATATATTAGCAGAAGCATGTGGGTGTTAGAGCAGGGACTGGATGGGCCTTGAAACCTATGGAGGTCTTAAAACTTCTCCAGGTTACGAGTTATTCTCTGCATCTTGGCCTAGTGCCTTTCAGTAGTCCTATTACATGTTGCCATTGTGTGGGCAAAAGAGATGTTCTTGTTGGAGGGTCATGGAGCACAATGGTCAAGAGAGAATTCTTTTTTTTTTTTTTTTTTTTATAAATTAATTTTTATTGGTGTTCAATTTACCAACATACAGAATAACACCCAGTGCTCATCCCGTCAAGTGTCCCCCTCCGTGCCCGTCACCCATTCACCCCCACCCCCCGCCCTCCTCCCCTTCCACCACCCCTAGTTCATTTCCCAGAGTTAGAAGTCTTTATGTTCTGTGTCCCTTTCTGATATCTCCCATACATTTCTTCTCCCTTCCCCTATATTCCCCTTCACTACCATTCATATTCCCCAAATGAGTGAGAACATACACTGTTTGTCCTCTGATTGACTTACTTCACTCAGCATAATACCCTCCAGTTCCATCCACGTTGAAGCAAATGGTGGGTATTTGTTGTTTCTAATGGCTGAGTAATATTCCATTGTATACATAAACCACATCTTCTTTATCCATTCATCTTTCGATGGGCACCGAGGCTCCTTCCACAGTTTGGCTATTGTGGACATGGCTGCTAGAAACATCGGGGTGCAGGTGCCCCGGCGTTTCATTGCATCTGAATCTTCGGGGTAAATCCCTAACAGTGCAATTGCTGGGTCGTAGGGCAGGTCTATTTTTAATTCTTTGAGGAACCTCCACACAGTTTTCCAGAGTGGCTGCACCAGTTCACATTCCCACCAACAGTGTAAGAGGGTTCCCTTTTCTCCGCATCCTCTCAAGAGAGAATTCTTGACACATATATTGCAACTTAGTAAGTTTATTCAGCTTCACTTTTGCTGTATGAAGCTGGTGGTTATAAGCTTAGTACTCAAGGGACAGGAGACATGCAGGGAGTATTATAAATATCTTCCTTGTATTTCTACTTGTAAAACTATTTTTGCACAATTTCTCTGGTGTTTATCATTCAGTTCAATATTAACTATCAGTGAAATTTACAGGCAGTCATGAGACCCTGTAAGAATGTAGCAACCAGGGAACCCTGGGTGGCACAGCGGTTTAGCGCCTGCCTTTGGCCCAGGGTGCAATTCTGGAGACCCGGGATCGAATCCCACGTCAGGCTCCTTGTGCATGGAGCCTGCTTCTCCCTCTGCCTATGTCTCCTCCTCTCTCTCTCTCTCTGTGTGACTATCATAAATAAATAAAAATTAAAAAATTAAAAAAAAAAGAATGTAGCAACCATGGGACGCTTGGGTGGCTCAGCGGTTGAGCACCTGCCCTTGGCTCAGGGCAAGATCCTGCGGTCTCAGGATCGAGTCCCACATCAGGCTCCCTGTCTGGAGCCTGCTTCTTCCTCTGCCTACAGCTCAGCCTTTCTCTCTCTGAGTCTTTCATGAATAAATAAATAAAGTCTTTTAAAAAAAAGTCTTTAAAAAAAAATGTAGTAACCAGCATGTATTTGATCCTTATCGGAACTATGCGGGTTATAGGTCAGCTTTCAGGGTTTAAAGGAAAACATTTTTCTGCTTCTATCCTTGATCAGTTATCAAGGAGCCTGCCTCCCCAGTTCCTGTACCTGGGAAAAAAGAACAAAGTTCATAATTCTTGCAAGGCTGTGGAGGAATATGCTTAGTTGTTCAGTGTATGGAAATGTGTGTCAGAGGACTTTAGTTTACATGAATAAAGTATAAGTTTACAGTCTAGCAAGTAGGGGGGATCCACAAAGAGCTACAGAAAGGGAAGTTTTTAAAACCAGAACGAGGGAGTCATAAAAAGACCAAAGGATTATTTCAGGTGAGATTGAGACAGAGCAGGGACTGGACTTGGGTCTCCTCCCCCCTAAACACAAATCCAGTGTTCCTTGGCTAGGTCTGTAGAGGAAGAGCTGAGGCTTTGTGAGTAACATACCTCGAGGGAATGTAGAAGTACAATATATGTTTAGAAGTGAAGCACGGCTGCAAGAACTGGAACAAACCAGTCAGCACCAAGATGGACCCAGTGCTGACCTTTCACCAAATTTCTCCCTTGTTAAAATACTAAAAATCATGCCCAGGGTGGAATTAGACATGTGACACATAAAGAAGCATGACTGTTAAGTGTGCAAGTGCCCCCCAAAATCACTGCCCCTACATGTTTAGCCATCACCTTTTTCCTGCTTAAGTCTCTTTAAAGCTCTCCTTGACCTCTGGGGAGACAGCCTGAGGATCTTCCCTCTGTGCTGTCTCCCTTGT